TGTTGGGTGTTCAAGCCATGAGTGCATTGTGACATTGAGTCAGTTTTTGAGGTTAGGATTGTTATGAGCATGTTGTATTTGTTTAAATATTTTTAAAGAATGACATAAGTAAAGGGAAGTGTATGTGATGCATATTCTAGAGCCTAATTATAGCAAATAACCATGGTCATAGGTGTAGTGTGCTTTGAATGACAAGAGCTTAATTTTGTTTCGTCTACTATATTGATGGTTTGTTCGAGGACGAACAAAGGTTTAAGTGTGGGGTGGTGATGTTGGGCATATTTCGATATGTGTTGATGTTACTTTACCCATATTTTAACCGTTTTTTGATGCTATTTGATCTTTAAAATGCCCAACATGGATTAATTATTGATTTTATGACTAATTGAGTTGTGTGTGATGAATTAGGGTGTTTGGAGTATAAAAATATGAAGAAAAAGTCGCATCCAATCTAGAGAAAAAAATTAGATTTCGTGCACCCTTAGCAATGAAGTCGGCCCATAGCATCCGCCATAGCATCCGCACCTGGGCAAAGCTGAGAAGGAGGAACAAAGGATGGATGCGACGCATCCACCCTAGCATGCGAAGCTGAGAAGTGGAGGACGAGGTGGGTGCGACGCATCCACCCCAGCATCAATCCCTCAAGCTGAGTCGAATTAGGAATAAGAGAACTTTGGCCCACGAATTTTGTATGCAATATATAGGCCAAAAACGCCTCTTTTAGGTCATGTAACATATTGGGAATTGGAAAAAAGCCACGACGAAGCTGTGGAGGCCGGAATTCATCAAGTTCCATCTTTTTCCCACCAAACTTAGTAATTTTTATATTTCTTTGTATGATTTATTATTTGGCTACCATGTCTATATGGAGCTAAACTTCACGTTCTAGGGTTGTGGTTCTTTCATGACTATTGTTATTCGGATATTGATTTTGACTTCTTGATTTATCATATTAGTTTATTTATTCAATCTTGCGCTTAATTATTTAATTGTTTGATCAGCAATTGAATATAATCTACGAATCTAGAATTGAACTCGAAAGTGGAAATTCTATATTGCATACAGGATTGAGTAGGGCAAGTTCTTGAACTCGGGCATCGAAAAACGGATTCGTGGTTAGGATAGACATATATCTAATTGCCTTGCTTGGTTGATTTACAGGAATTATAAATGCGTTCTTGTTGATTCTAACTCCATAGACATATAGGCTTTAGGTTAGCTTGAATAGGCGAGTAAGAACTCGACAGATTTTTATGAGCAATATTAACCTTGTCAACCAATAAGCTAGATAAATTAGTCGGTCAATTCAATTTAAGAATACAATAGGATTGCTAGATAGCCCATAACCCTAGATCATTTTTATTACATTGATCTCATAAAAATCTGCTCTTTCTCTGTTCAAAGTTCATTATTTATATTTTTTATTTTAATTAGTTTAGAATCAAATATTTTTAGGTTTAATTCTTGTTTAGATAATTAGGATAGT